CAGAGGAGCAGGAATGCTGATGTTTTGGGTCTGGACCCTTCTTCAGACCTTCCATCCTCAGACCTTCCATTTCTGAAGAAGGGTCCAGACCCGAAACATCAGCATTCCTGCTCCTCTGATGCTGCTTTGGCCTGCTGTGTTCATCCAGCTCTACACCTTGTTGTCTCAGATTCTCCAGCATCGGCAGTTCCTACTATCTATAACTTTGATGAGAGTTTTTTTTTAATATGGTGTGACAGAAACCTGACCAAAGGAATTCAATCATAGTGATCTAGGAAAGATGGATCTTAATTTAGGAGATGGCAACAGTTCCTCAGACAGCAGAGAGGATTTAAAGGAGAAAGGGACAGCATCTGAGGAGGCAAAATTGATCATAATATTATCTTACATAGGAGCCAGGAGAGAAGCTGGGTGGTCAGCACTTTAGTGGGAATAGGGTTGAGAAAGCAGCATGCGGTTCTAGAGGACATCACGGGCTCAGAGAGGGCATGAGGAAAGATATGAGAAAAATACGGAAAAAGAGTAAGGTCAGTTTTACAACATTTGGGAGCGTCCAGCTTTGCCCCTGTAATTTATTTTCTATAATTTCTAAACTGTTCAAATTAATTCAACTTTACCCAGCCTTTGAATTCACACAAATTGCTTACTCTCCTTTTTAAGATAACAGCTGCTCCTTAACACTTCGAGATCCTATTATCTTTTCACCATGGATTGACAAGAATAAATGCCCTGGGTCCCAGGCAGAAGAGGATCTTGTGGAATTGGCAATCAGGGACTTCATTCAAATGCATAAGGAGGTAAAGGAGCAGCAGACAGGCATATGTGAGGCAATGGCCCTTTTAGCCCAGACGCTGAAGAGCTGCAGCTATGCTATGGAGGTCTTTGCTATCTTAAGATCGTTTGCCTGCCTCTATACGTAGGATGGTCGTTGCCATGAAGAGCAAGCTGCAACACTCACGGTATGCTGGATAGCATATTGGACCTGCCTTGTATCAACCAAACCATTGATCCTCAGGACTGAAGGCAAAGTCAAAGGGATCGGGGAAACCTTGACCTTAATCCAGGTGCCCCTTCCTCCAGGAGGCACCCTGCTGGAGGAGAAACCACACACGAACCCCTCAGAAGTCTCTAATGAGTACACTCCAGAAATGCTGGGTCTTCCAGCTCTACCCCGCCTGTGCCTCTCCAACCTGTGGAAGTTTGAGTCAAGGAAGATGCATTTGCCTCTAGCAAGGACACAGTCAGCTTATTTGGGCCCTTTAGATACAAATGCTCCCAGAGTCACCTGACCAAACCTCCAAGGCCAAAAGGCTGCAGTGTAGAGCAGACTCCCTCTACCCAGTTGTGGCACCTGACATTGCATCGAGATGTAATAGGAAGGAAAGAAGCAAAAAAATCTGAGGACATGTTGATGGCATGGGTGACATAATCCTTAATATTAAGCCTCATATTTTTCATAGATGTTAAGATTTTTGCACTAAATCTGTATGTTTGAGTTTCTGGTCCACCCCTTGTCAGAAGTTTGATGACTAACAAGACAAGCTGCCTGGTTCTGTAACTATGCTAAGAGTCATGGCAAGGCAAGAATGTTGTGATGATACATGTGAGTGCTAAATGAGTGAATATTATGAAAGCAAGTGAACAACACTGAGATGCAGCCTGTTTGAATCTGTGACCTTGTTGCCTGTTCCAGCACTTAAAATGTTTCTGCAGCAATATTTTAGTGCTAGTTTCTAGTGCTTCCAGAAGTGCTGCTCTCAAAGTTCTAAACATTCTGCAAGTGGATCAGAGGTGCCATGAGAATCCTGAGAGATGAGAAATTATTGGATGCCAATGCCTGTGGATGAGGAGACAACACGGTGTAGAGCTGGATGAACACTGTAGGCCAAGCAGCATCAGAGGAGCAGGAAGGCTGACATTTCGGGCCTAGACCCTTCTTGAGAAATGGGGGAGGGGAATGGGGTTCTGAAATAAATAGGGAGAGAGGGGAAGGCGGATAGAAGGTAGATAGAGGAGAAGATAGGTTGAGAGGAGACAGACAGGTCAAAGAGGCGGGGATGGAGCCAGTAAAGGTGAGTGTAGGTGGGGAGTTAGGGAGGAGATAGGTCTCCAGGGAGGACGGACAGGTCAAGGGGGCGGGATGAGGTTAGTAGGTAGGAGATGGGGTTGGGGCTTGAGGTGGGAGGAGGGGATAGGTGGGAGGAAGGACAGGTTAGGGAGGCGGGGTCGAGCTGGGATGGTTTTGGGATGCGGCAGGGGGAGGGGAGATCTTGAAGCTTGTGAAGTCCACATTGGTACCATTGGGCTGCAGGGTTCCCGAGTGAAATATGAGTGGCTGTTCCTGCAACCTTCGGGTGGCATCGTTGTGGCACTGCAGGAGGCCCAGGATGGACATATTGTCTGAGGAATGGGAGGGGGAGTTGAAATGGTTCGCAACTGGGAGATGCAGTTGTTTAGTGCAAGCCGAGCGTAGGTGTTCTGCAAAGCGGTCCCCAAGCCTCCGCTTGGTTTCCCCGATGTAGAGGAGGCCACAATGGGAACAGCAGATGCAGGTGAACATCTGCTTGATGTGGAAAGTCTTCTTGGGGCCTGGGATGGGAGTGAGGGGGGAGGTGTAGGGGCAGGTGTAGCACTTCCTGCGGTTGCAGGGAAAAGTGCCAGGTGTGCTGGGGCTGGAGGGGAGTGTGGAGCAGACAAGGGAGTTACGGAGAGAGTGGTCCCTCCGGAAAGCAGATAAGGGTGGGGAGGGAAAAATGTCTTTGGTGGTGGAGTCAGATTGCAGATGGCGGAAGTGTCGGAGGATGATGTGTTGGATCCGGAGGTTGGTGGGGTGGTACTTGAGGACGAGGGGGATTCTGTTTTGGTTGTTATTGCGGGGAGGGGGTGTGAGGGATGAGTTGCGGGAAATGCGGGAGACAGAGTCGAGGGCGTTCTCGACCACAGAGGGGGAGAAGTTGCGGTCCTTGAAAAACGAGGACATCTGAGATGTACAGGAGTGGAATGCCTCATCCTGGGAGCAGAAGCGGCAGAGGCGAAGGAATTGGGAATAGGGGATGGCATTTTTGCAGGAAGGTGGATGGGAGGAGGTGTATTCTAGGTAGCTGTGGGAGTCGGTGGGCTTGAAATGGATATCGGTTTCTAGGTGGTTGCCAGAGATGGAAACAGAGAGGTCCAGGAAGGAGAGAGAGGTATCAGAGATGGTCTAGGTGAACTTAAGGTTGGGGTGGAAGGTGTTGGTGAAGTGGATGAACTGTTCGAGCTCCTCGTGGGAGCACAAGGCGGCGCCGATACAGTCATCAATGTAACGGAGGAAGAGGTGGGGTTTAGGGCCAGTGTAGCTACGGAACAGGGATTGTTCCAAGTAACCTACAAAGAGGCAGGCATAGCTTGGGCCCATGCGGATACCCTTGGCCACCCCCTTTGTCTGTAGGAAGTGGGAGGAATTGAAAGAGAAGTTGTTGAGGGTGAAGACAAGTTCGGCTAAGCGGATGAGGGTGTCAGTGGAGAGGGACTGGTCGGGCCTGCGGGACAGGAAGAAGCAGAGGGCCTTTAGGCCATCTGTATGGGGAATGCAGGTGTATAGGGCCTGTGGATGAGGGATGCATGCAGCTGATAGCCATGGATTATATCCTGAGATGCTGTTGTGTGATGACCAACATGGAATCTCTTTGCAGTTAGCTGAAGTCTCCAGGTACTTACTCTGACTTTCATGTTGAGACTTCTCAGCATCTAGTTCGCTCATGATGAATGGTGGGATGGAAATCTGAATATTAATGAGGCACGATTTTGCAGTTAGTATAGTTAAGAAGCAATAATCCTCCTTAATAGGCAACTTGTTGCTGCACAGTGAAAATCTCATCCTGACATCCACAACTTAGTTAAAAAGAAAGTAACAGGTTGTTCCTGATGGCTAGATAGGCCTTAGTAGGCTTCTCAATTGATTTTGCCACATTTCTCACCGGAGCCCACATTGTTCAGGCCCCTGTAAATTACTTTCTATAATTTCTAAACTGTTCAAATTAATTCAATTTTACCCAGCCTTTGTATTCACATGAATTGTTTATTCTCCTGTGTAAAATAACATCTGCTCCTTAACACTTCGATATCCTATTATCTTTTCACCATGGATTTACAATCTCTTAATACCACATGCCCTCTACTCTCCTTGAACGAAAGTCTAGGTATCCACGTGAGACAGTCAGGCCAGTTAGAAGCTGTACCTATCTCACGAGCTCAACAGGTTCCTTTTTTAAATTTAAAGTGACAGTATTTGCAAAGCACTTTAAGGAATCAAGGTCAATAGTCTTGAGCCATATGCCTTTAACAACTTGCCAGTCTTGTTTAGCAATTATTCAGTGACTGCCATACCAATAGAAATATTCTAAATTTGAATGGTACTAGTCATTCTGATCTACAGCTCAGTACTAGCCACACATTCACCTTCTAAGCAGGAGCTTCTACAAATCCGGATGATTAAAGCTGCTTTCACGCTGAGCAAGACCAGTGCATGTACCATCTGTTTCACATGAAGCCCAAAATAAGGTGCTGCGTTTTGCAAATCATAGCAAAATAAAAGACTTGCACTTATATAGCACCATTCACAACCTCGGGTCATCTCAAAGCTCTTGACAGACAATTTTATACTTTTTGAACTGCAGTCACGTTAGGAATGTAGGAAACTTAATATACCTTACAGTCCACACTGACATCCGCACATTGCAAGCTACGGTACTAACAGAGATTTCCCATATTGTAATGCAGATTAAGGAGCCAGCATCAATTTGATTAAACCCAGAAGGTTGTAGATGATCCATTTTTGAGCATGTTCAGGACTCAGCTAGATAGATTTTTGGATACTAAGGAAATCGAGGGAACAGGTTAGAAGGTAAAGTTGATCCAGGGAATCAGTCGTGATGATGTAGAATGGCAACGTACATGTGTGGGGCTGATTGGCCTACTCCTTCTAGTTTTTTTTTAATGCTCGACTGTGTAAAGGATAACTATAGCAGCCTAGTAAATGTAGTATAGCACACCTTTGAACACTGTGCATCACAAGTGGCTTTCCTGCCCTGTGCGTACATTTAGACCAATTGAAGTGTTGTCCTTTCCTAGTCAGCTAATTGAGACTGTTAGCTATACGGTACAAGAAGACACAGATTTATGATCATTAGTGAAGGAATCACAATGACAGATGAAACATGAGTTTTGCGCAATGAGTTTTTGTCATCTGGACTTCTACCTGAAAGGATAGTGGAAGTAGATTTGGATGTAACTTTCAAAATAAAATTGTATAAATATTTGAGAAAGAAAAATACTGCAGGACCATAGGGAAAGAGTGAGTAGGAAGCGATCTTATCATCAAGGTGCCCCTGGCTAACAGCAACAATAATATGATTGAATTTTACATTCACTTTGGGAGATTTTAAACATTTAATTAAGAAAACTAGTGAGGGCACATAAGCAGAACTGGCTAAAATAAATTAGCACATGAGATTAAACGATAGTTCAATTGAAACACTGTGGTAGATATTTAAGGGAATGTTCAAAATATACAGAATAGGTATATCCCAAAGAGAAAGAAAAATTCTAAGGGATGGACCCATCCGTCGTTAACTATAAATGTTAAAAATAGTATCAAATTTAAAGAAAAAACATAAAATTGTGCAAAGACAGGTGCCAGAACAGAAGATTGGACAATATAAAAAACAGCAAAGTATGACTAAGAAAAAATGAGGGAAAATCTAGTGTATTGAGAAAGCTAGCCAAAAATACAAAAACAGAGAGTAAGAGTGCCTAT